TGACGACACATTTTTCTATGATTGGTCCGTTTTGCTCCGCTTTGTTTCTCGTCTGCTTCACTCGCAACGGAGATTTCCTTCCATTGCAGTTACAGTTCTTTCATTGATATTTCTTCCTGACAGCAGAGTCACTGTTTTCCCTGGTATATTGGGCGGGAGCGGAAAGAGGCCCATAACAGCAGTAAATTTGATATTTGGTTTTTTTTGTCATAAGTTCCTGCGTTGCTTAAACCAGCATTTCTTTTGAGACTTCTTTATTCACACAAGCATATTCTTTACTAAGTAGGTTGAATATCAAGAATTAATTCGGCTTCGTTCTGCATCAGTCTCGGTTCATGCTCAGTTCTCCACAGCGACGGAACCTCCTAGATCTGCATAATTCTTCATATCCTGCCGCTCAGCCTCATTCAATAATTGTTAACTTAATTATTAAACGCCCACTATCGTAGACCAGTGTGAAATATGCTTGACTCAGCGGAGAGATTCTGCTGTTTGATCCTTGCGTCTAATAAAATTTAATCGTCAGATGCGAAAGAAAATGCGGTATTTTGAACTTAAACGTGCCCTCAATTATAACTATGCGTTTTACGTCACGGCATTATGATTATAGTTTTTTCGGTTTGACGTTAAAATAATTTTTTCTACAATGTCTCCACAAGGTGTTACTTTTTGTAATAATCTCATCCTTAATTTCCTTTACTTTAAATCCTACTCTCTCGTTCACCTTAATTTCCTATATCCGGGAAGTAATCTCACGTTAACTTCCAAAACTTTTACTAACCGCCACGAGTCGGCGTTAATTTCCTGAGTGTTTCTTTCTTCCTCAGCAGTCTTTTGCCATAAAAATTCCCTTGAAAAAATCAACTTGAAACTGGACTGTTCGATTTTCCTTTTACGCCGATGAAAAGTTCCACACAAACTGAACTGGCCGGCAACAGGTCAGCGTTCTCGGGATGCATTCAAAATAAACCAAAGATAAAATTTCTACAGCTTTGCAAGTTCTCAGTATGCTTGTTTTCAGTGATGTCATTGATGGCCATTTCATGCAGCTTTGCGTAGGAAATTTTCCTACATCGAACCTATTTTAGGAAGATGATTATCAATTTATTGTCATATGCAAAACATACTTTTTTGCGCAATAAGATAAAATGTTTGGGGGAAACCAATTTTTTTTTCATAGAAATAAGGGCTTTTAGTACGTAGATAATAACTGTCGTTCCAGATACAAAATCAATGTTACCAGATAAATTCAGCCAGCGGTTATAAGTTCATGTTACTAACCGTTCTTATGTAAAAAGTTTGGAATAAACCAACCTTCATTTTGCTCTTGCCCATGAATTCGAATCCACGGAAGCAGCTCCAACAAAATCCACAAAACTATAAACTGCATTATTCAAAAGGACCAATAAGGAAATACTACGGGCCTGAAAGAGATCATAAGCAGAGTATTTCTGACGCCACCACACATCCAAAAAAATGCTGTACCCTTCAATATACACAAAGCTAACGGGCAATTCTTTAAAGAATTACCAATGGCAATGCCGATTAGTGTTTCAATTGCAATGGGACCTCATAGTAGTAACATTTGTAAAGCTTTCCCGATTGGTAGGCGACAAAATTCTGTTTAGGTGCTGGAACAAACAAAAATACTGGGGTCGACGCTCTGAGGCGCAGGATAACAGCCGTCTTTACTTATAAGAATCCGCATTTAACAGATTTAATTCGATTTTCGTCCTGTCATACTAATAGGCTTATTAAAGTTTTGGGAAATTGAGAGTGGGCACTTATTCGATGTTGGCGCTTAATCGAAGATGGGCGCTAATACATTTTCACAATTTTAAGCTTTTTCTTTTTCTGAACAAAACGTGAAGATGTTCCCGTTGTTTTAAATAGAAGTTTAACTGTTCATTGAATTTTTTTTAAGAGAACAAAGGTCTTCACGGAATCTCTTAGCAGAAGTTAGTCCATTTCAATCTCATTGTCAGTGACGTCACTTTTTGGGCAGAGGGTGGTAGGGGAATGGGCGCTTGTACGAGTTGGGTGCTTATATTAAATATTCCTGCCTGTAGTGCTGGCGCTTATGCGCTTAATTGAATAAATACGGAGTGCCTTCCGTTGGCCTTCCTGGATACTGTTTATGTGCCTTAGCATAGTTATGCTTCTGTAATAAGTTGATAGCCGTTTTCTTTTTTTGGTTTAAAAAATAATAACAATAACTGTGCTTTTCAATGGAAACAAAAGCTTTGCCTTGGTTGGCCAGGTAAGTAACGTTAGCCGGCTTGAACGTCTATGACAAAAAAGAAGAAGGAGCGGTCACCTAGCAACGCGAAAAACAGTTTATGTCTTCTATTTAGCGCTAAATATCGGCAATAAGACGCGCACAAAAAGTGGAGCTAAAAACTCTTTATTTCAATCTTGACTCGGTATTACAATACCGTTTTCTCCGTTCGGTCCATCAATGATCTCAGCGCTTGGTGAACTCATTGTCTGGTTGCGAGAGCTCCGTTTAAGTCAAGGGACCCAAAGGAGAGCCTTTACTTATTATTATAAAAACACAAAACAATAAAACAACTTAAGGACGAGGAGTCTATTAACAAGCCTAAAAAAAAAAAGAATCAAACTAGCTATATTTTACACTTACCCCTCCTTCCTCCTCCTCCTCATTTTTTTTTAGATTTTTTCCTCCACCCCCACTACGACCCTAATCGACCCTACATCGACTACACATTGAACCCACATCGACCCTGCATCGATCTTTCTTTTAACACATTTCATTTGTAACGATCTCTATTGTTTTCCGCCACCACCACCGCCTGTTTTCTTTACCCCCACTACCACCACCGACATGTTTCCAGTATTGTTTTTCTCTTCCACCATTACCACCACAGCGTTTCTATTGTTTTCCACCGCCACGTACTACCACCCCCACATTTCTATTGCAGTTATTTCTCCACCATCGCCACCACCAATTCAACAACACATTTCTATTTTTTCCACCACCACATTTCTATTGTTTTCCTTCTCCACCACCACCATAACATTTCTATTGTTTCCCACCGCCACATTTCTATTATTTTCTCTACCACCTCCACCACGTTTTTGTTTTTTCTCAACCAACACCACCACGCACCACATTCCATAGTTTTCCACCACCATTACCACCACATTTCTATTGTTTTCCTCCTCCACCACCACCATCACATTTCCATTGTTTTTTCTCTACCACCTCCACCATATTTCTATTGTTTTTTTCTTCACCACCACCACTACTACATTTCTATTGATTTCCTATTGTTGTTAATTTCATTATTCCCTCATTAAAGATTTTTCACAGTACCTAGGCAATCCACCACCTATATTCCCCTAATCGTCTGAACTACTCCTGACCATCTTAAAATGTACGTGGGGTTTCCAAGTTTACCAACAATAATAGACCGTTCGATGTATGGTCGATGTGCGGTTGATGTGGGGCCGGTGTAGGGTCGATAGGGTCGTGGTGGTGTTGGAGGGAAAATTTTAAAAAAATGAGAAGGAGGAGGAGGTAGACTTGCTGACAACCCTGAAGTTAGTATGTGGTAACCTTCAATGCTCTGTTACAACGGTAAACTTTCTTGAAACTTATCTCGAAACATTTCTCTTGCAAAAAAAGTGGCCTACAAAATAGTGTCAAGCTTTACTTCTCGAACCACTTTCTGCAACGGAAGAGTGTTGAGGCATGACTATTTTGAAGGCGTGTTATACTAGACACTGAAAGTTTATTTTTCATGCATTTTGTCTCTAAAAACTGTTACTATAAACCACCTAAATCGCAAATAAATATCTTATTATAATCCACTCCCCACAGGGCTTTTCATGGATAATTTACAACACTGGTTGGGGGACTTTGTCAGACTGCTTAAGGTGCAGTTTACTAATGATGACAGAATGAGTAATTATGCCCCCATACATGAATGTGAAAGTAACTGTGTGTCAACAGGTTGCAATATTGACATTTGCCTAGTGTAACACTGGATCTTGATATAAAAGACAGTAGTCCCCATGGGTGGGGGGGGGGTACCGTAAAATTCCGAAAATAAGCTCCGGGGTTTATATTTTTCAAAGGCACCTTTTGAGGGGCTTATATTCGGAGGGGCTTATCTACGGAGGGAAACTTGATTTTCAAAATCGATTGGGCTAGCCTTATAGTTGGAAGTAAATTTACCGTTATTGCTTTGTTTTACTTTGTATTTGAGGGAAATTTTCCAAGTACAAGCCCCCGGGAGGCTTATATTTGAAGGGGCGATTTAACGGAGGGTTTTTTGTGTTACCAGTTTGGGAGGCTTATATTTGGAGGGGCTTATACATGGAGGGGCTTATTTTCGGAATTTTACGGTATATATGTTAGCAGGTATATCAAGCAGTCTATATCTTTTTTAGTTGACAGAATTAACCTCAGTTTAACCTACAGGCCTTGCCCAGCGGACGAAGTGGAATGGAAAATGAACAAGCATTATTTTGACTATAAGAATCAAGCAAGTATCTGATGATGCTATCTTTCGCCCGCTATTACTTGTAGATGGGTGTAGTGCTAATCATTTCTGCGCACCTCTTGGAAGACTTAACGAGCAATAAATCAAGCCGATTTTTAGAAAACAAATCGAACGAAATTTGCAGCCATTTAAGTAAAAAAGGGCCAATAAACAGGTTTTTGCGCCCGATGAGCTAAAAAATCACAAAAACGAAGGAAAAGGTAACAGGAAAAAGAGAGAGCGAAGAGAAAAAAAGCAAAGATTGCATTGCTTAGTTTTTATATTGGCTTCTTTAGAGATATTTTTGATCGAAAAAAGTCTGTTTGACACGCAAGAGGCCTATTTGGCGAAACGTTTTTTTTTTTCAATCAGGCTGCAATATGGAACAATGTTTTCACATATAGTTTCAGGTCAGTATAGTAATGGACTAACAGAGCTCAAATCTGACATAAGATATAGCGTATGATCAAGTAATTCTTGGCTGGATGTCTCTCACTGTACCAAAATGTACCCCAAAGCTTTAATGAGTTGATCACCATTATCTGCATCACGTTTAGCGATGTTTCCACATGTGTTAGAGTCATCATGTTTGCCTCCAGTACCAAACCCGATCCTGGAATTACAAGAGTGGCAATCTCCGTCCTCGTTAGCAAGGATACCTATTCTTGCTTTGGAGCGTGCAGTCATGGTACACTCTGCATTGAAACCTTCCTTGTTACAGGTGAGCTGCAAGGAGGCATCAGGACCAACTACGGACTTCCACTTGTCACGACCCAGTGAGGTGCTGCGGTATTGCCCATCAGCGATCAGTGAATACAGGGAACTGGCGCTCTTAGTGATTTCAATAAAATTGAACTGGTTGTTGATCTTCATACCGAGGCAGATCTTGGAGAAGGATGTGTTCCAGTAGGAGGGAAGTTTGGTCTCCAGTGAGTCAAATCCAGTCTTGCCTCCATCAACATTAAAGGTGTTTTTATNGGCTTATATTTGAAGGGGCGATTTAACGGAGGGTTTTTTGTGTTACCAGTTTGGGAGGCTTATATTTGGAGGGGCTTATACATGGAGGGGCTTATTTTCGGAATTTTACGGTATATATGTTAGCAGGTATATCAAGCAGTCTATATCTTTTTTAGTTGACAGAATTAACCTCAGTTTAACCTACAGGCCTTGCCCAGCGGACGAAGTGGAATGGAAAATGAACAAGCATTATTTTGACTATAAGAATCAAGCAAGTATCTGATGATGCTATCTTTCGCCCGCTATTACTTGTAGATGGGTGTAGTGCTAATCATTTCTGCGCACCTCTTGGAAGACTTAACGAGCAATAAATCAAGCCGATTTTTAGAAAACAAATCGAACGAAATTTGCAGCCATTTAAGTAAAAAAGGGCCAATAAACAGGTTTTTGCGCCCGATGAGCTAAAAAATCACAAAAACGAAGGAAAAGGTAACAGGAAAAAGAGAGAGCGAAGAGAAAAAAAGCAAAGATTGCATTGCTTAGTTTTTATATTGGCTTCTTTAGAGATATTTTTGATCGAAAAAAGTCTGTTTGACACGCAAGAGGCCTATTTGGCGAAACGTTTTTTTTTTTCAATCAGGCTGCAATATGGAACAATGTTTTCACATATAGTTTCAGGTCAGTATAGTAATGGACTAACAGAGCTCAAATCTGACATAAGATATAGCGTATGATCAAGTAATTCTTGGCTGGATGTCTCTCACTGTACCAAAATGTACCCCAAAGCTTTAATGAGTTGATCACCATTATCTGCATCACGTTTAGCGATGTTTCCACATGTGTTAGAGTCATCATGTTTGCCTCCAGTACCAAACCCGATCCTGGAATTACAAGAGTGGCAATCTCCGTCCTCGTTAGCAAGGATACCTATTCTTGCTTTGGAGCGTGCAGTCATGGTACACTCTGCATTGAAACCTTCCTTGTTACAGGTGAGCTGCAAGGAGGCATCAGGACCAACTACGGACTTCCACTTGTCACGACCCAGTGAGGTGCTGCGGTATTGCCCATCAGCGATCAGTGAATACAGGGAACTGGCGCTCTTAGTGATTTCAATAAAATTGAACTGGTTGTTGATCTTCATACCGAGGCAGATCTTGGAGAAGGATGTGTTCCAGTAGGAGGGAAGTTTGGTCTCCAGTGAGTCAAATCCAGTCTTGCCTCCATCAACATTAAAGGTGTTTTTATCTTGCCAGTATGCAGAGGTGTAGTGGAACGTTTGCTTTGGGAAGATAGTTACAAATTAAAGCAAGGTAATCTCTTTATTCTTTTATGCATTCAGGAAAATTTTATTTCATAAATCAGAAGCTCAAAAGGACGATATAATCTCTGATACTCATTCTGCGGGTCAAACCTTAACCGCCTGACAGTCCTTGTATACTGTTGTTCATTGTCCTGAATTAATATCTTTCCTTCAATATCTCTCTTTACCGTATCTCTCAGACTGAAGCGGTCGAAGATTCATTGTTATCATAACTCGCCTGACAATCTAAAATTATTCACAACAAAGGTAAAAAGTGCACAAGCGGGATAATATTGAAAGGCCCTCGAGGGAATTTTTCCTTCTGCTGCCCGCAGCTGCTGCTGCTATAGGTTCGATTACCAGCCGCTGTTCGGGAAAATGAGCCCGCACTCAAAGACCGGACCCGGGAAGACTGCGGAAATCGAGCCTACTGCTGCTACTGTCCATTTAAAATTAGCTCAGTGGCTGCAAGTTTACCAGTGGCAGTGGTCAATCTCTTCCCCTATTTAAATTCGTAAAAAAAAATTACTCTTGCTACAGTCGACTCCCGATGTATAACTCGAACCTTCTGGGGTATTCGAAAAAAGTTCGAGTTGTCGGGAGTTCGAACAGAAAATAAGGAAACTAGCAAATAGATGAGGAGGGAATACAAAGAATCAGGCACATCTCACTTCAAGGGAGGCGAGCTGAGATTGAGATTGTAAACATACATAAATAAATTGACTGTTTCGGACTTCAGCACCCTGTTTTTTATTATTATTATTATTATTATTATTATTATTATTATTATTATTATTATTATTCTGACTTGTCACAGGCATAAAAAATGGTTCGAGTTATCTAGGGTAAGATTATATATATAGAATAGATCTGTAGGGAAACGAAAATTACTTCGGGTTAGCGGGCAGGGAGGTTCGAGTTGTCGGGGGTAAAAATACAACACATTTATGTACCAGGGGAAATCGACTTTGGTTCTATCGAGTTAGCGCGAGGTTCGAGTTAGCAAGGGTTCGAGTTATCGCGAGTCAACTGTACTGACAAGGAAAATGGTTTTTGGGAAATATCAAAAGACCTTCGAGGGACTTTCTGCTACCGTCTGGTCCTTGAAAATTAACTCAGTGGTTATTTGGTCACACTCGACGGGGTTTCGCCAATTTTCCCTGTTCCCATTTGAGGGGAGATGTAAATTTGTAAAATAACTACTAACTGATACGAGAGTAAACTGGGGAATGTAATATTTAGTGTGTATTAGCCTTTCATCATCAGTTAATCAATTCATTCATTCATTCATTCATTCATTCATCTTCAGCTTTACCTGATTGCCATCAATCTTCATGACCAGCGTCCATCCACCATCACCGCATTGTCCATTTGAAATCGTGGCCATGGTCATGTGACAGTAAACGTCAATAACCTCATTCGCGATAAGTAGTGGGTACGCTTTGTTTTCACTGGATCTTTAAAAGAAGCAAATGCGAATGAGACTGTTGACTAACAAGTTTGTTTACACGAGAAAATGCAACGAGACGCTCGCAAATTATTGCCACTTAAACACTTCACCCCGTATCCAAAACTGAATTGCAACTGTCAAAACCGGCCAACCCGAAAGTAATTCGAAGCCTGATATTCTGAATGACCATTCAAAAACTGCGGACATGCAGTCAATGTAGGAATGGCACGATAAGGTTGTGTTCTCGACTGTTTTTAGTGATGCGAGAACTCCATGTTACAGGAGAATGAGTTATTTCCAGAAATACATGCTAATGGATTCTTGCTCTAGGTTAGAAATGATGACAAAAAGGTGATACAAGATACCGTAAATGCTCGAATTAGCACCCGGGGCGCTTATTTAATTTTCTAAGGCGAGGGGGGGGGGGCGCTAAATCGAAGGGGGGCGCTTATTTCGTTTATCAATTTTTAGCCTCAAAATGACGCTATCTTTATTTCTAATTAAAACCAAACTGCAACATAAAAAATTCAAAAACCTTATAGAAAACTAATTTTTGCGAACTCAAAACGTTCTTAAGACTTTTTCATCAAAAAGTGTATTTTATTTCTGCAATAGAACAAGCATTTGGATTCTTAATCAACTTCAATTTCTGTATCGCGGTCCTCAAGGATGGATATGGATATTTCTATCAAGGAAGTGAGAAGCAAACCCGTGAGACTTTGAAAGGACATTACTTTTTATACTATTTAACAATGTCACATTTCATTAAAAGAACCGTATAGACCGTATACGTCTCGTATATCGTACAGAGTACCGAAACTCATTTTTTCTCGGGGGAGGGGGGGGGGGGGGGTTATTTGAAGGGGGGCGCTTATTACAAATTTTGAGCCTTACGAGGGGCGCTAATTCGAAGCGGGGCGCTTATTTGAAGCTAGGCGCTAATTCGAGCATTTACGGTAGTTGAAAAATCGAGTAAAGAAGCGGAAAGGTATGGTCCTGATCACACTATGCTAGCATCGTCAGCTCTTTCCTTTGAAAATATATTTAAACGCGAAGGTTCGTTTTAATGCAAATTAACTGAGGCACAATTAGGACCTTTTACATGGCGGGAGGAATAAAGGTCCAAGCACCAGTGAGAAAGATCCTCTGTCTTTTCGTTGGGTTTAGGTGCAGAAATTTTGTTTGGGCGTTTTGATTACCCACTCACGACACGCCGCCATTTTTTTGTCTGGATTTTCTCTAGTACTCCATAGATCTATAGGATCTTCCTAGCGAAAGTAGTATAAGGGTTCTAACATCATTTTGCTACTTACATATTCTTGTCAAACACGTCCTTGCACGATAAAACTGCGTCAGAAAAGTACACCGGCACACGCAAAAACAAATAAACAAAAGTAACTTTTATGCTAATTCGTGTTCCTTTGCATTATTATTATCAAGTCAATTACTGCTGTTAATGTTGGGAGTCTCGCTTTACCTGAGATCTGCTTTTTGGGATACCGAATAGTGACAGTTCAATTTTGAGATGAATGTGGCCCCTTGTTTGCGGTCCTTTGCAGTCCTTTGTGGTTCACGTTTATACATGAAAATAGCTCGGATGGCAGGAACACCCCATATATTTCTTTCAGGGTGATCACTCCGTCAGTCACATTACATGGATTAATCATAAAACCATATATTTCTTTCAGGGTGAATTTTATCTATTATTCGCTAAACTTTATTGCAACTATAGAAAAAAAGGAACCGCAAGAAGTCATCCCAGTTTCTCGAGGTCATATTAGTGTAATATCGACTTTGCATCAGATTTGTACCCGCGGTTATTTTGGGTTTACAGATTACTGGGTCTTTGCGACGTAAAGCTCAATACTATTTTGAGATACGAGTAAGATACGAGTTTTTAGAAGAGAAAACTTTGTTTGGAATTTCGTTTATCCATGTCGGAAGATTTTAAAACCTTCAGAATTTATTCCCCTTACCCAACTTGTCTCTCATGAATAAGTGCTTCGTTGTTGCTGTTGTTATTCGTATTGTCAGTTGTTGTTATCGTTTTGTTGTGTGTTTTTTGTTTTCTTTTTTGGAAATAAAATAATCATTTGTTAAAGTCAAGACTATGAATATTATAATTAACTCGACATAAGACTTTGCGGAACTCACCCGGTTCACAGTCCTCTGCATCTCCATAATATCCCGGGCGATTACATGTGCAGTTGTAAGATCCTTTGTTATTTGTGCAGATCGTATTGTCACCGCACTTGTGAGTTCCCGAGGCGCACTCATCTACGTCTAGAAAATGAACAAGCCGTCAAATGAAAGAAAAACAAAAAACAAAAAAAGGAAAAATGTACTAATAATCTTGAAAAAACCGCTGCTTAAGTCACGGCACCTACAATGCAAGCAGCAGGTAAAAGGTAAGCCTTTAAGAGCCATTTTCTGAGAAAATCGAGAATCGCAAGACACTCGTCAAAAAATCGAATTTTTTATTATTTTGCCAAAACATCCCTTTTAGTGACCTAATTTAAGGAAAAATAGTTTTGGGTTCAAACGATTCATTTTAAAGGAGAAATTAAAAAAAGTTTAAAAAATCGATTTTATTCCAGTTTTTCGAACAAAACACGGCAGGATACAATGGCAACTTCGAGAGAAGGGTGAACGCGTAAGAAACATTCCCTGACACTGAAACTTCACCGAATTATTATTTTGTTCTTACTCTTGAAAACCTTAGAAGAAAAATTGAAAAACAATGTCTTATATTTTTATAATCGACAAGTCTAAAGAGGTCATATTTGTGACGTTAGACATGCTAGAAAACGAAGGCCAACTTTGACTATTAAAAAAGGCCTCTGGTATATGCCGCTTGATCATAAAATCAATATAAAATGGAACCTTGGCTTTTGTACTAACTTACTGGAAAGTTTTAGCTCTGGAAATCAAATATCATCCTGACACCAAAGCAAGCGGTGAGAGCAATTGAATTGGGAAATTTATGCAAATTAGACGGCTTGCGGACGGTTGTCAAACTAAAAGAAAGGTTTTACATGAAAGGATTACTCACCATTGCTTGTAACACGTTTTTACGGCAAGGAAAGTTATTTCCAACTTCTGTTGCGTCGGTTTGAGTCACAAAATCCATAATTTTAAGCCAAAAGGTCCAAAAGACAAACGCACGTTTGCTCAGCGACTGCGCCAGAATCCGGCCGTGAATCGAAATAAAGTCACAACACGTCACTGCGGTCCTTTAGAAGCAAGAGTTGCAAGAGTTTTTACTTCAGTCAGGAGGCCAAAAGATTGAAAATTCATCGCAAACTAATGACTTCGATTTTGAAAACCTTTCATCACTTCAATCGTTCGCCGGCTGATAATAAACATCACACAAGATCGTATGACCTTTGGCGTGTGACCGGAAATCGGTCACACCCTCAAGTCACGTTAGCATACTGTCACGAATTTTAATACGATTTTTCACGTTTGCTTTCGACAAAAAATAGACTCATCGAAATAAAATCAGGCCTGCTTTATTTATTTATTTATTTTTTAATTTCTTTTATAGCCTGCAGAACTTGTTCCCCATGCATCGCGCGTGTCTCGCGCCCCCAGTCCGCTTCGCAGTGCTAGCGTGAAAAGCGCAAAAAACTGAAATTGACTCCTGTTCTGCAGTTGATTTCTTTTATAGACACCTTCTAGGCATTGACAGGCTGTGAAAAAAGTGTATTTTTATTATTATTATTTTTTGAAGTGCTACATCATTTTCCTATAAATTTCAAACGTGACTGCTAAAAGACTGTTTGGAACCCATGGATGGAGAAAAGCTGTGCCGGAGAGAAGGTCAACCTCCCAGCCGAGCCAACTTTTGCGAGCGTTTATATGAGGAAAAAACTGACCACTTTGTCCGAGTCAACAGTGCTTGCGCATGCTGTCTTTGTCTAGCCTTGACCGTGTTGTCCCAACTACAATCGGCGACAAAATTGTTGAGACAAATAGGGTGACTTCGGAGAACAAACGAATCCGCACCCTCCCCTGTCCCCTCCATTCAAAGTTGGGGTGTTTGTTGTTTTCTATAGGTAGCTAGAACAAGGGCACAACATTGTACGGAGGGGATGGGGGAGGAAAGCTATATTTCCTCCTTTTGAAGTTCATAAAACGTAAAAAAGCCTACTTTTGGGCGAAGTGTCTCAACTCATTTTGTCGCCGATTGTAGCTGGGCGAGCCAAAGTGGAGAAATATTAGCCGGGCTGGAAGGGTGAGGCCACCACTACCGGCTCAGTGGAGGGCTGACTTCCGGAAGCCCTCAACTCCGCCCACTACTGGTAGTAAGGCGTCTATCCGAACCAACCTTTTGTTTCTCATGTAAATGGTTTACCAAGTTTTGTAAGGAAATGGAGGAAAAGTTGGCTCGCCCAGGGTAGCTTGGGAGGTGAGTAAACACCAGATAACCCCAATAATAAGCACAAACTTTGATTGTCAGTTAGATGTCTACTATTTTAAGTAAGCGACCTGCATGTGATTGTCGCATCCATGCCCCCTTCCAGATCCCCTTTATTATCGGTAAGCCTCTGATAGGTCAAAGTAATACAGTCGTACCTCCAGTAAGCGACCACCAAAAATGCAAAGACTTAGTGGTCCCTAACGGGAGGTGGTCGTTTAGAAGAATCGGACCACATGGGGTCTATTCCGAGAAGAGGTCCAGGCACATTCTATTAAATGGCGGTGTAACAAATTCCTGGCAAAATATTATCTTTTACCTCTTTTGACAAATACAGCTTTTAAATCATGCTCAATTTAAAGAGGGATTCAGGTGAGTGAGATATAGAATAGTCTAGAATCACAACATAATCTTCACTTTGTTGGCTACATCTACTAAGTTAGGATATGTGTAGTTCCACGATGTCGCTAAAGGTCTTCATATTTTCTAAGGAACATAGTGCACACAGCAAAAATAGAGAGCAGAGAATGCGTCAACTGGTCGCTTATGGAAAACAATTAACCGTGACGCCCAAAAAGTGGTCGCAGTCACTTACAGAAGGTGGTCGTTTACTGGAAGTTCCAACTGTAAGGCTTTGACTGGGAAAATTTGGTCTTTTGGATTGGCAGTCGCACATGGAGGTTGGACTGTGTAAGCCACCATCACCTCACTGTGAGTGACGAGAGCCAGGAAAGTATAGTATACACTCCCTTAGGATACACAGAATCGTTGTTTTGAGGTCCCGTTTAGCGAAATGGATCATTCAAGGGAGGTGTTGAAGTCCCATAGTGAAATTTATAAGGTTTATGGGTTTTTAGTGCAAGACGAAACACAATACTTAGGGCCCTGTTGTTCAAACGTTTAACAACAGGAAATCACTATCAAGCGAATAAGAAGAAGCAGGGTGAAAGCGTTAGTCCCGGGGGCGTTAGTCAACTTTTCGAACATACAGCCCCTCAGTCACTCTCCTCCGCAGACTTACCCTGGGCGACCAGGATAGGGGAATATAATACTCGACCTTCCTTGCATCATCGCGAGAGCCTATAGCCTTCACTTTCTTTTGGCTCGTCCTACAATCCTACCCAACGTTCGTGGGACAGGAAGGTCTGCTTGCGAGGCTTGGGAATCTAGGGAGACTATGGTAGCATGGTGCAAATAGCCGGGATGAGCTACTTTGTCCACACGAACCAAGAGGATTGGGTCTGCTAGAAGAAATCAGGTGTAGCTTTCTGTGATAAGTAATATTCCAACAGTATAGGATCATAGTTTGAAGCCATTTCACAATCACTAGTTTCCGCGCACCTCTACCGGCGAGTTGTGGACAAAAGCAGCTGATAGCTGTATGCGAACCTTTTTTCCACAAAATGGTTTCTGGGTTTTCGCATTCGACAGTGTCATGTATTGATTTTTTTTAATCTTAGTCGAGGTCTTTTTAATTATGTACTGTCTATCTGACTGACTGTTTCTTTGTGTTTTTTTTTTCTGGTAATAACAGGTTTCATAATTTGGTCGTGGTTGGGGTTATAGGCTCCTGATCGTGAGCAAATAGCGAAAAAATCAACAAGCAAAACCAAAAGTAAACTGTAGCGTTGAATCCGTTGGCCACGGAGAATTGGTATTATTCTGCAAGTTCTTTACTACAGCAAGAGAGTATACTCCCTTGACTATGGGACATTGGGCCGGGGGAACTTAGTATTTTGACCCGGCATAGGGGAGGAGGGGAGGGGGAGGGGGTACTCTGGCCAGATTCCAAGTCACGGGGATGATCGAAGTATGTTTTTTTCTTAGTTTGAAAATATTTTGAACAATTTTTTTTTTTTAGCTGTGGCTTTACTTAAGTATTCAAAATATTCGTTCTTTTTTGGTCTTAATTTTCGCTTCCACGGATCACTCACGACACTTGGAATCCGAGGTACCCCTCCTGTTTAGTACTTCGAAGGCAAAAAAGCTGTTTCAAAGCCTAGTAGGTAAATAAAAGAAAAATAAATATGCATGGCTGTTTCTACTGCGATGAGAGGATTTCTTGTCAAAAAATGTGAAAACTGTATTAAAATTGCTGACAACAGCTACGAAAATTTCGTGACAGCATGATGACGTGACTAAAGCGTGTGACCAATTTCCGGTCACACCAAAGGTCATACGATCTTATGCGATGTTTATTATCAGCCGACGAACGATTGAAGTGATGAAAGGTTTTCAAAATCGAAGTCATTAGTTTGCGATGAATTTTTATTCCTTTTGCCTCCTGACTGAAGTAAAAACTCTTGTAACTCTTGCTTCGACGTGTTGTGACTTTATTTCGATTCACGGCCGGATTCGGACGCAGTTGCTGAGCAAACGTACGTTTGTCTTTTGGCTAAAAATTATATATTTTGTGACTCAAAACGACGCAAAAGAAGTTGGAAATAACTTTCCTTGCCGTAAAAACGTGTTACAAGCAATGGTGAGTAATCCTTTCATGTAAAACCTTTCTTTTAGTTTGACAACCGTCCGCAAGCCGTCTAATTTGCATAAATTTCCCAATTCAATTGCTCTCACCGCTTGCTTTGGTGTCAGGATGATATTTGATTTCCAGAGCTAAAACTTTCCAGTAAGTTAGTACAAAAGCCAAGGTTCCATTTTATATTGATTTTATGATCAAGCGGCATATACCAGAGGCCTTTTTTAATAGTCAAAGTTGGCCTTCATTTTCTAGCACGTCTAACGTCACAAATATGACCTCTTTACACTTGTCGATTATAAAAATGTAAAGCATTGTTTATCAAATTTTCTTTTAGGATTTTCAAGAGTAAGAACAAAATAATAATTCGGTGAAGTTTCAATGTCAGGGAATGTTTCTTACGCGTTCACCCTTCTCTCGAAGTTGCCATTGCATCCTGCCGTGTTTTGTGCGAAAAACGAGCATAAAATCGATTTTTTAAACTTTTCCTAATTTCTCCTTTGAAATGAATTGTTTGAACCCAAAACTATTTTTCCTTAAATAAGGTCACTAAAAGGGATGTTTTGGCAAAATAACAAAAAAAATCGATTTTTTGACGAGTGTCGTGTGATTCTCGATTTTCTCAGATAATGGCTCTTAAGAACCACACCTAAAGAGAGAAATAAAATCAAAATCCAACGCTGTAGTTTCAAAAAAGGACAAAAACTTGCTACGAAATGAAATACAAACTTTTAGTCTAATAAAGATTCTCGCGCCTAAAATGAAAAGGTTGATCCAAAGAAAAAAGACATGAAGTGTTGCCGAACAGGTCAAAAATTGCTAAAAAGTTGACAGCGGCCGAGCAAGGCCTAGCTTAACGTTCATTTAATTAAGCATTTACATAACACAGCTGCACAGTGTGAGTTTTTAACGCCTGAAACATTCAGTAATCGTAAAGATCTTAAGGTGTAGTTATCACAGTCTCAGTTCCCCAATCGGTGTTCCCCCAGAAACTCACCAATCTCACAGTAATTTCCTTCAAATCCAGCAGTACACAAGCAGCGGTATGCCTTGTCTGTAAAACCGGTTTGACAGGTTGCATTATTTTCGCAACGGTTATTGACACATTCGTTCTAGAAAAAAAAAGAAAAGTGATCGAAAATGCATTCTTTAACCGCCGCCTGGTTACCTTAATTGGGAGAGCGCGGGCCCGGCTGCTGAGCGGGAAGTCGCGTATTCAGACCCCAGCAAGGACAACCACTCAGGGTCATTAAATAACTGAGAGGAAAGTGCTGCCTTTGCAATGACATCTACAAACGGTTTAAGAAAGGGAACGAAAAGGGAATTTGGGGGCTCGAAATCCCCACTCCTTTGATCCCTTCGAACGCCTGCTACTGAATGTCCCTGCCACTCAGGTTAAGGGGGGCATAGACCCCGGTGGTGTGGCCAACCTTTCCTGCGCTGCAGGGTGGGTTATCTGTAATTAGAGATCTTAATAAAGGGATAACCTCATATCCTCATTTTGTGCCTTTAAATTTTAATTTACTTAAAGGTACCTGAGAAGTCTCTAGCTTTGCTTTTAACTGTTTTACCTAGAATCGTGAATCACAAACTGACAAGGTTGCGTCTTTTTCGATGATCTTCATCCTGCAGTTCAAATTTTCAATAATCTTTTCCGGTTAGTTCTAATAAAATTAGGCATCGTTCGTTGCTAGGTACAAAGGCCATCGTGTATAATTTAGTCTAGCCCTTTTAATTTGCCTCAAATATTACGCCGTACATAATCATGATTGAAGTCAAACTGATATTCCTTTCTTACCTCCGCTCCTTGATAAATGTAATCATAGTTTGTCTCCAGCTTATCTTCTTGTTCTTCGAAAGTGGAGTTATTCAGCTCACATTGGCTCATAGACTTCTTAAAGTTGAAACTAACGCAGTCTGGTTCCAGGAAACAAAGCACCTCGCAGCCATCGGCATCAATGGCGTCAACAATACGAATCAGGTGCTCTTTAAGACGTTTTCCTTCGAAAATATGGTCGACCTTCATCTTAAGCTTACGACATGAGTCTGGGAGGTAAGTAAACGTACAAATATATTTTTTAAACTGATAAAATAATGATTGAAAGGTAGCACATTTTCAGAATGGTTGTTTTTTACCATTCCTAATAAAATTGAATTTTGAAAATCCTGGTTTTTGAAAAAGAACAAAAACCAATTAAAAGACACGGAGGATACCACTTGAACTCTCTGTTGTATAAAGTTCTGCTGAACTTGCACATTTTTCTTGTGCTGAACAAAAACTGTACCGAGCCGTATCTTGTCCGCTACAAAGAAGGCATATAATTATATTTATACTGAAAAAAATCATCGTTCAATTTTTTGAATGTACTGAAAATCCCCGAAAGAGTTCTCCTCACTAGAGAAATATCAAGTGATGCAGAAGATTTTCAAAGGCTTCACAGCTAAGATTTGTGGCCTGTCTCTTCTTGCAATTTTTACGCTTTGGGTATTTACATTATGACATATAACACTCGTTTTGTATTCCAAACGAAAAAGTAGCATATCAGCACCAGCTGACAAAAAAGTTATCTCCAAGCAAGCGAGACTCAACGCTACTAAGAGCGTTCTTGTAATCATCATAGGCCAGGGTAAATCACTATTACGTCACCAGATCACATAGAGGAATCTACAGATGTCGCAAAGCGCGCGGCAGCATTTCTGATGTCATCTCTTTTAACTTAAATATCTTTAAAACGAGCGAAAATATTTAAAAAAGAAAGCACCATCCTTCTTCATTTAAAAAACTTTCAATCTTGACGTTAGTTGGTTTTACGACTAAATACTTAATAAATGTACAAGAATATTTGAATAGCCATGTGACATTATGAACCACTTTGTGCTAAATTAAATATTTACGGATTTCCACTGATTATTCGCGATTAAGTGAGGTAAAACATTTCTCACTTAAACCTAGAAATAGAAGCCACAGAATTTTTTCATGTATTATACATCAATATTTCTTTTAGAACCAAGCAATCAACTTGTGGCTCCATGTTAAAGTTATGGACCTTGTTTACGAACTATAGAATTTTAAAAAACAAATCCGTTTGACTGAGAACGCGAGTGAACTTAATTTCTATTTTCTTTGGTTTCAACTTTTCCTTAATTTTAACTCAACTTCCGACTCGAATAAACTAACCTTTATTTGAGCCCTGCACAGGAATCCAGGACAGACACTTCAACAACATCCACAAAATTTTAAACAGCATTATTTAAAGAACGGCAGGTCAATAAATTGTTTTGTTTAAGAAACAAATTCTTCTTTCAAGTTGACTTTCCGTCCGTCCGGTGTCCGTCCAAACCGCATAAAACAATGCTTCGTCTGATACCGGTGCTCTATGTACTATACGACTATAAGATTCAAACTTATCTGGACATCTTTGCATTCGTAATTGCACGCAAGACCAATGGCCAGTACTTAATAACTAATATTGACGATAATTAGAGTTTACTTCTTATAGTCTCCTAGAATCTTGACTATTATACTAGAGTAGCATATGTAAACTGACTTTAATTTTAGACTTTCTATTGGTCGGTGAAAAAAGATTGCTTTAAGGGGTAATAAAAGAAAAAAAATAAAGTTCTATATAAATCACCCTGGGGGCGCACAAAAACAACAAGATAACTTCACTAACACGAGCCCTTTTAACAATATTCTTGTATATAAGTTTATTTTATATTTTGTTAATAAATACGCTGTAGTCTGTTTTTCACATTTTTTGCAGTTTGGAACGTTTAACGACTCAGTCCATTAATTACATAACATGCAGCTCACCTCTGTCCTACTAATTGTTTTTATGCATTCTGACAAGAGAGAATGAGCTTCCTCATGATCATTCTCTCTTGAATCTTTAATTTATATCTTAGTTGTCTCGCGGTCGTTTTGGGAAATTTTTAGCCTTACCATCTATGCATGTACAGGGAAAAAATATTACGAGAGATAAAGTTTAGTCATAAAAAGGCTTAAATCTGCTTAATCAGTTTTGCTACAAATGCGTTTCATGGCATTTATTACTTATTCACACCTGTAATCATCGTCCACAGGCCACCGTACGTGGCGCAAATTAACAATTTCTAGTTTTCTACCTCCTCGCGTTTTCCTGAGATCATTGCTAGTGCTGGATAGTGCGATTTAATACGGTAAATCTTTTACGTTACAGAGTTATTCCCTATAGACGCACAACATGGGCGAAAAACAGAAAAATCAAACAAATTGCCGGGGAATCCAAAGTACCTTTGAGATGGAAGCGTACGTGCGCAAAGTATACTAGATTGTTCGCTGATGAATAGATATTATACCTTGAGACCCCTTGCCTTGATAAGAAACAATGAACATCTATTTTGTTAGACTTTTAGCCTGCCCGGGGGGTATTCCCATAAATTTCGCATAGTTGGCCGCCCAGAGTCTTAAAACCTGACCCTATTTAAGGATGAGACGAACGAAAACTGATACCCTGTTAATTATGAATGCGCGTGCAGGACCGCTGTTTATAACAACCCTTTTTAAAATCCCTCTTCGGATTTCCCCCTCGCCGCCTATACATCCCAGCAACCCGCTCCCCCTCAAAAAAGAAAGAAAAGAAAAAGAAGGAAGGACAGGAAATTCAAGAACGGATATCTTGGCGTTAAAATCAGTTGTTGGATTTCATGTTTAATTGCGAATCGAAAATCAGGATTTCGAAATTTATCCAGATTTCCCAATGGAAAGTATCCTTAATATTATAGTCAGTGTGCTACTTCTATACGCCGAATGGAATTTCAATCAAAGTTTTGTCCATGAGTGATAATAACTCATGCAGATGTGGATAAAAGGAGCTTCGACATATCAAGTTCTAAAAGACAACAAATTTCAGTGAAACAAAGGTAGATGAGTCGAGTGCTTTTCACTGCACTAAAATGTACCCCATGGCTCTTATCAGTTTGTTGCCTTTGTCTCCTCCATGTTTAGCCTCATTTCCACACGTGTTCCTGGGGAATTGATCTGGTTGTTGATCTTCTAACCGAGGCGGATCTTGGTGAAGGATGTGTTCCAGTAGGAGGGAAGTTTGTTCTCGTACGAGTCAAACCCCGTCTTTCCTCCGTCAAGATTAAAGGTTTCGTTGATGCTTCTTCAGAGACTGGAATCGTAGTAAAACGTGCGCTATGAAAGCAGTCACAATGGAAAACACGTCCACGTCCATTATTATAAGCGACTTTAATTATGATCACTTGTTTAGCTGTTGCTTTCTTTTTACTGTACCAGAATATACCCCATTGCCCTGATGCTCAGTCTTTTAGCCCTATCGTTGTCCAAGTTTCCACACGTATTATTGTTATCGAAGTTTCCCGCAGTACCAAAACCCAATCTGGAGTTACAATTATAGCAATTGGTTTGATCGTTACCAAGGATACCGATTCTTGCTTTGGAGCGGTTACTCGTGATACACTTTGCGTTGAACCCTTCCCTTTTACAGTTTAACTGCAAGGAGGCTTCCGAGCCTGCTAGTGACATCCAAGCTTCGCGACCGAGAGAAGTGTTCCTGTATTGTCCGTCAGCGATGAGTGAATACAGGGAACTGGCGCCCTGGTTGATAACAATAAAATTGATCTGGTCGTTGATCTTCATACCGAGGCAGATCTTAGTGAAGGCTGTGTTCCAGTAGGATGGAAGTTTGGTCTCCTGTGAGTCAAAGCCAGTCTTTCCTCCAACAACATTAAAGGTGTTTTTATCTTGCCAGTATTCAGAAGTGTAGTGGAACGTTTGCTTTGGGAAGAACATTAGTTACAAATTAATCAATGTAATCTCTTTATCCTTTCATTTATTTATTTCAAGAAATTCTTTTCATAAATCAGAATCTTAAAAGGACCCTATAATTTCTCATACTCATTTTGCGAGTCAACCCTTTACCGTATCTCTAAGACTGAGTCGGTTGGAGAGTCATTGTAATCATGCCTCGGCCTGACAATCTAAAATTATTCGCAACAACAGTCAAAAGTGTACAAGCGGGAAAATATTAAAAGGCCCTCAAGGGAATTTCTCCCTTTCAAATTAGCTTAGTGGCTGCAAGTTCACCACTGACAGTGGTCAATTTCCCCTGTTCTCGTGTGAGGATTTTAATTCGTTAATAAATTACTACTCCCGATAACTCTAACCTTCAAGGGTAATCAAAAAAAGTTAATTCGATCGCGAGTTTATAGGAAGTTTTAAGCAAATAACCGAAAATAAGGAAATCAGCGAATAGATGAGGATTGAATGCAAGAACCAGGTACATTTCATGATCACTTCAAGGGCAACAAGAGATTAAGATTGGTACTTAAAAAAAGGGAAGGGACACTGATTTTGAACTGGAGTGACAAAAAAGTAATTAAAGACAATTACCGAATTGACACTGTTGATTTGAAATGTAGAGGATATTACATGGCCGCGCGGGGATACGAATTTTATCTTCG